GCTGCTCTGACCAGACAACGGCCAGGCTGAACGACGGCTGCTCTGACATCTGGAAACACTCCTCCTTCTCCAGCTGTAGCCCTGTGCTTATTGTGCTCTTTTGTGGCACTCTCCTTGGGAAAGAAGCCAGGTTATTAAATAATTTTCATTACGAAATAGTCTAAAGGGGAAAGAAAAAAAAAAAGGAAACTGAAACCAGTTTTACTTCAATAACCTGTGGAAAAGGAAGAAAGCGAGTTCAAAACAACCCACTGCGTCCAGTAGCACAGAAGGTCATTTTTCTGTCATTTCCACACATCACCATGTCAGGAGGTTGGGCAATACTGGTCACATATTGTTCTTTAAAAGATCGTATTCTGTATCTTCCATTATTCATCACGGTGTCCCCTGCGAGCACGCGTGAGTAACGGTAAATACGCGCCGCAGCATGCCCCTCACCGCTGCCGAGCCTGCCCACCGCGCGTTGCCAAGCTCCGTCAGAAAAGCAGCCGCAAGACAGCGCGTGTGCGTTTAACATGGAGTAAAGATCAAGACTTCAATCCATTTGAAAACGTGAAGTGTCTCCTTTCAGAGGAAGAAGCCTTTAAATGCTGCTTTACCATGTCAGTCTTTCCTTTCGCTGCAGGCGCACGTAAGGCTGCAGGTGTTTGCACACCAGCGAGGGTAAAGCAGGGGCCGCTAGGAAACGGGGCCAGCCCGGCCGGCGAGCAGCGGCTCACGTGCACCAGGCTGGTCCCTCCTCTTGCTCCCTCGCAGAAACTCACGCAAAAAGCAAAGGCACCAGGAGGGAAACCTGGCATACACCGGATGTCATTTTCGGTGCGCGTCTGTCTTGGCGAAACAAGAGGGCAAATAGCCACGAGCAACTCTCTGCAGCGTGAGCGTTTCCACTAGCGCAGCGCTGGCCCCCGCCCCGGTCCCCAGCGCTGGGCCGAGGGATCGATTGGTGCCCCTCTCCGCGCTCCCCACTCGCCAGCGCTTTGCTGCCAAACGGCCGAGTTTTGCTCTGTGTTCAGCAATAGGATGGTGACTAAATCACGGTAAGGAGCAGTCTGAGGGTAAAACTGGCTATTGATATGAGAGCTGACACATGGCCCCTGCAGCGTTTGGATTTAACCCGGCCTTAGACAAGAAATCTGTTCTGTGACGAGCACCTGCTGCGGCCACGCAGTTACTTCTCTCTTCCTCAAATGCACTTGCTCTCATTCATCTCAGTTTATTTCTTGTTCTAGTAATGCTTTCTCTCAGCTTTTGGTACTGCTCCAGGCTTATTGATCACCTATGAATGCTACAGGGCTGCAGCAAGACCCCTGTGTGACACTAGAGCAAAGAGGCTTTCCCCTTTAAAGAGCCGAGAGCGGCTCCCCTCTTGCCTGCTCTTTATATGTTTCAGCTGTGAGCTGTGATTGCTGCTATTTCAAGCAGGGTGTGGGGAGGTTTCCTGGCTGGAGGGTGTGAGCAGTAATGAAAGGAAGTGGCTTAAGATAGAAAAAGACTTTGGGATTCCTACCCTGGAAAAAAAGGAAGGCTTAAATGTGCTTTTTTTTTTTCCCCCTCCCTGTGAGAGGAAAGGTAGCTCTGGCTTTATCTTTGGCATGCTGTAAGAAGCCAAGGTAGGGATGTGTGCTGCTGGTGAGGCAATGAGGGTGCCCTGGGCTGGCTGTGCCTGCATCTGCAAGGTAGGTCTCTGCTCATGAGGACATGGAGCTGTGAGGAAGAGAAGCAGGTAGCAGACTGTGTGCTTTTTTTAGCTCTGTTTGCTTAATAAAAAAATAAGTATTGTGCTAGTTCTGCACTCCTGTGCAGAGTTGTGATAGGAGCTGCAGAGCAGCCTCTGGCTTGTGTCTGAAGGGAGAGCTTCCAGCAAGTTGCCATTGGTGCTGTTTCCTATTTCTGTTTTCTACCATCAGATTTGCTTTGGAAATAACACCCTGGCAGCCCTCTGAAAAAGGACCTGCTCAGGAGGGCCTGTGTGGGAAGAGCACCTTCCTCCTGAAATGATTTTTCTTTATTATTACCTTCCTTCTTCAGTGCATGGGACCAAGCTGTGTGTGTGTGGAAAGTCAGGCATTAAAATATGTCCCATATCCAGAAGGAAAAGCACCAGGGTGGTGGAGATGTAACTTTGTCTCCCCTTGCTGTTGAAATGTGAAGTTCTTAGCTACCAGCTGACCAAGTGCGGACAGGGTCTGCTCCTCTGCCTGGGCTCCACTTACAGGGCTGTATCCTCCCAATCTCCCTCTGAGAATGGGGGCAGAGCCCCCTCCTCAGAATGTAACCTTTGGAGACAAAGTTTGGGAATTTGGGGGTGCGGTGAACTTTCTCTTCTTTCACATACTTCAAAGTAATTGTTTAGCTCTAGCTTACTCTTAGCCCTGAGGCAGGTTTTCTCTATTTTTGGGGACTTTTGAGCATGCTATGATGTGAAGTTGTACATGCAAATTTCTAGAATCAGAATGAAATGCTGAAATGCTTTATTTCATAAATGAGAACATATTCTAGCATTCCAGCATCATGTAAACCTTCTTCCAAAATACATCTCTCTGGAATACTCTCTGCTCTCTGGAATACTTCCTTGGGGCAGAATTTGTGCCATAACATGTTGACGCTGCAGTCCTTGCAATGTGTGAACCTTCCTAGCCTTCTCCTTACCTAGGAGAAGGTAACATAATGGCTAGAGGGGCTGGAAATAATAACAAATGCAATCCTGAGTGAGAAGACTTGTTACTGCAGGGACAATAATTCCAGAAATTCTGCTTTGCATGGGAAGTGCTGAACATGCATTAAAATCCATGAAAACATAATGAGAAGAGCATAGGCCTAGAGGAACACTCAAGTCAATGAGAGCTGCTGTTCAGCCTCCCTTGGGAGGGCGTCTGAAAGGATGGATGCTAGTTATGAGCACCTCAGTGTTAGAGTATCTGAGTGATCCCAGACGAGCGTCCATCCAAATGTTTGGCTGCTTCTGGAATATTGCCGGAGCTGAATCTATGTTTCAGTGTTCCAGTCATTCAGGAACACCTGGAGATTTGGCAAGTGTACAAAGGAAAACATCATATTTGTAAGAAGAGTATGATCAGATGCTTTGAAGCTGAGTAGTTTGAGGGGGAAATTTGTGTGTACTTAAGGGATGGTAGCCACAACTGTTTTTACTGGAACTAATAATTTTCAAACAATTACCATCTGGTGATATCTGGGGTGCTAGTTGTTTCCTGACTTATTCTAAGGGAAATGTGGTATCAATGCTATTCTTCTGCAGTATCCGTTTCTGAATACTGGTTTAACAGTGATAATGCTGTGTTTTTTTTTTTTTTTTTGTCCCCAAATAATTAAATGTAACTACTCTCTGTTCTTCTAGATCACTTCTCTATAAACAACATAGCAGAACTGTGTTGGACTGTTCAGAAGCTCTAATTTTTTAAAATCTCCTAATGAAAGTGTGGGGTCTAGGGGGCTGACTAGGCAGAGATGGAAGGTTTTTTCTCTTTGCATTCTGATATCATGTTAATTTATATGACCTGAAAATCACTTATTTAAAAACAAAATACTGTCATTTAGCAGCAATGCTATTTATCCCTGTATGCCAATAACGTAAGGAGAAAGAGGCTCTGCTTGTTTTCAGTATCAGTGCTTTTAATGGGTCCTGCTCTGCCTCTGATCTTTTGGGAGATCTAAGGATTTATTTTCAAAGAATAGAATAGTAGAATGATGTTTTTAAGTGCACAGGTAACTTGAGATGTGAGTTATATGCAAGGAAAATACAGCATCACTTCTCTTGCAGGTGTTCCTACTAGTCTGCAGCAAGTCAACGTGCTCTCAGTAGAGCCTGTTCTGCTGCCGCTTGACAGAATTACTCTAGCACAATGACTAGCTTTTCATACTGTGTGAGGGTGTTTTGGTTTCAGATTTTTTTTTTTGCTTTTGCTGAAAGCATGTTGTAAAGTGCTGCATAAATTGGTACCATATGTAGCATTTACTGACCTATACAATTTGAAATGGCAGCACTCTTGGTAACCTAGAAAAGAACCTAAATTTATATAGTGTTTGGGTACTATCACTCCTTTCAGATCACTCTTTTGCAAATATTCAAGTGATTGAGATTGTTAACAACTGTAAGAAACAATTAAAGAGGATGCAGACCTTTCCTGCAGGGCACAGGAACAATGCTGCGCTCTGGACCAGTAGGATGAGTGCAGAGCGCTGACTATCCCTGCGGGGGGGAAGTGTGCCCCAGTCAACCAGTGCGTATGCTAAAGTGTTTGGCAGGGCTCTGTGCGACTTGCAGGAAAGCATGGCAGAAAACAGGATAAAGCATTTGCTAGAATAGACTAAAAAGAGCAATGAAAAACATCTGAATGGTGGTTGAGAGGAAAATAGTAATCAGGGTTATGCTTTTTTAGTTCAGTCCATTTTATAGTAATATTCAGCTAGAGAATAACTTCAGCTAGTACCAGTTTTAGAAGACATATTTAAAAATCAGTTTCAGTAAACAGTTTTTGTCATCTGATTAAATAAATAAAACTAAACTGAGAGTTCAGTGAAGGCAGTCCTAGATGCTGAAGGGACCAATAAGAACAACCAGCCCAACATGTGTAATTACACTGCTCAGCAGCTTATGAAATGAGTAAAGAGATGACCTGATATGACCTAGTTTCCAAGATAGCCAGTAAAAATTCATTTTGCTTCATTATTGATGACTTGTTTTCAAGTGAAATGTTTGCTTAGAACCAGGAACTCTGGAAAAGCATGGAAAACTGAAGAACCATTTAAAATGATGTCTTTGTTTGCAGCCCATAAGAAATAGTCACTAGGACTTTAATGAAACACCCGATTTGAAAAGAAAAATCATATGTTTAAATTATTTATACCAGGAACCAACTTGCAGATGCTTTTGTGTGATTAAAAAATATATGATCTCTGAAGTCTTCAGAGATGTAAGACAGATTGCAATCTGAAGATGTTTTCTAAATCTTATTTAATCACAATAAAAAACACTAACAAACCAGTATCCTCTTTATTTAAAAAGACATTCAAATGTGAGTTGAATACTGCTGATGCCCAGTACATTCTTCTGTCCAGTTGGATGGCTTTAAGGTCAGGCTTTCGTGTGTTTAGGGTTGACAGAAGCAACCAGGTCTTTGGAAGTTGCAAGTATTGCTGTTGTGACGCTGCTGTCACTTACAGGCATTCAGGAGGCAGAATGGAAACAGGATTCACAGTTTTGTTGTCCTAAGTCTGGCTCTGGCAGACTTCAAGAGAATAGGCACCTGTCTCTTAGTGTGGATCCATGTATTCAGCTCTTGACATCAAGAATGTGTTCAAGCTTAAGGATGTTTCTTTTCCTCCTGTGTGTCCTCAGACCCACATCTTGCAAAGTCCATTGGAATCTGTAGTAGATATGTCATCACTTAGTTCATGTTTTATACCCTAGTTTTCTGGATCCAGTTAGCTATTTTCCTTTGCTACAGCATAAGTAACTGGGAGATGGATTACACACGCTTTGGTAGTTTCTGGTGGACAACAATCTAGCGGCAAAGATATCATAAGAATAGTGATATATTTTTGGGGGGAGAAAACTGTTGCAACAGCTTGTTCACTTGAGTGACCTGAAAAACTATGGCCTAGTAACAAGGGGAGTAAAATAGGAAAGGAACTGAGGGAGGGTGTACAAAGCACTGAAGAGAAATGAAGAGACAAGTGGAACGGATGAGGGAATATCTAAGTCTGGAGTTAATGAGAGCCAGAGAGATGTGGGAAGCAGGAAGGTATATCTTCTTGGTATTTCTGTACTGCAGTCTGGCTGCTTGCAAGTGTTTCAGTGCAAGACAAACCTAATTGTGCTAATAAGGGAGGGCTGTGGCAATAAGCAGCATAGGAATGGAAAGATGTGTTCAAAATTGGGCCAAATCACCACCTAGTATAAACAGAGTATACATCAGTAGAGCATGTGTGTTTTATCTATTTGCATCTGCCTCAAGGGTAAGTCAAAAAGTTAGAGGATCAGCTAAAAGCCAGAAAAACATTTCCTATCTTTTCTTGCTTTTAAAAAACAAAACAAAAATACAATACAACAGAGAATATTAAAAACTGTTACCTTGGCAATCAAAAATGATTCAAATCAAAAATGATAAACCATGGTGTATGCCTAGGTTAAAGGCAGAGCATTTCAGAAACTACCTTTTAGAATGGTCATCTGTTCAGGATGACACAAAGCAATGACTTCAGGCATTTACCTTGGGTGCAAAATTCCCTGTGCAGTGAGAGGAGAGGCAGATGCCTTCAAAGAGCTAATGATGTCAGGTGTACAGACAGGGCAAATATCCCAATGTGTGAAAACCTGGCATAACGAAGGTGGTCACTGAGCCACACACAGTTTTGTGCTTGGAAGGGCTCTGCCTACAGTTGTCTATTTTGAAAAGGAAGGAGAATAGTAAGGTTTCCAGCACTGCTACTCGGCCAGTCAATTTACTGCAGTACAGCATTGAAACTGTTACAATACAAGTATGGATGAATAGTCCTTCAGCAGTTTTGTTTTTTTTTAAAGCCATTTCTCCCGAGTACCTCATTCAGCAGCTGTTCTGAATTATGTTTAAATCCATATGTACAACACACAATTAAAACCATTGTTTGTCACATACTGAAAAATACATGTTAAGTTGAAATGAAGCAACAAAAGGTAAAATGCAAAATTCAAAAATGTTGTCTACACTTTAATTGTGCTAGTTTCTGATTTGTTTTCTGCTAATTATGCTTATGTTATATGTAAATGAAGACACTGGGCATAACTGGGTCATGAGATGCAAGTAGAGAGCAGTGTTATCAAAAAGTGTAAATGAGATGAGACAGTGAAAGTCATACTTGTATTAATATGTACAGGAAGAAGCATTTAAAAATATAACAGTATGGAAACGTATTAGTACAAATCTGTACCTACAAATAAGCACACCCTAGAATAAACTACAATTTTTCTGATGGCAGATAGTGTGGCAGTAAAATGGCTAAAATGCTTCTGTTGTAGCCATTCTTAAGTATTTAGAGAAAGTGTCAGTCCCTGAGCCAGCAGGTAAGAATCTATGAGGATATTTATATCTCTATATTTATATAAATTAATGAAGAGATTAGCCATAAAGTCTTGAGTGCAAGACAGCTGCAGAAGCCAGTGTTGGGAAGAGGAGAAAGCAGGCTATGGAAGGATGAATCTTTCATTTGCCATTTGAATTGCTGTCAAGCCCTTGAAACCAGTTTTGCAAGTAAAGTTCATTCTGTGTCCTCTAGTTTTCCAGCTGGGCCTAGAAATGGCAACACTTATTAGGCTTTTCAGAACTATGGCTATTGCATGGAAGATGGAGTATAGCACAAAGGAGAGGAAAGTTTTGACTGGTCCAGGGGCAAAGTAGCAGAACAAATGACTATCTGTGAGCAAACCTGGACACAAGATACTCTACTCTTTCTATTTGTTTTATTTTTGCTTTAGTTGAAGAGCAGAACTGGGAGAGAGAGAGGGGAGAAAAAAAAAAAAAAAAAACCAAGGCAGAGCTATCTTGGTGCACTGCAATGGAAAACCGCTGCCATGTAGTGCAATACCACAGGCCAGGTGCCATCTGAGTGAAATTAAGGACAATGTGACCATGCCAGAACTGAATGCCTCCAGTTTCTTACCACTCTGGAAGTGTTAAATTGCTGCAAAAACAAAAGGCACAGAAAATGGCAAGTCTTGAAATCTGTGAAGTAGATACCATCAGTTGATTTTTACCTGTTAGAGAAGTGGTATAAACTCATCAGAAAAATAACTAGTTTATACAAAAATTGAAATGCCAGGATCCAGGAAAGTAAAGTCAGTGGGTCAAAATCAAGTGTTCCTTAGATATTAGCTTAAATATTAACACATCGGAAAGTTCTACGCACACAAAGGTGCGTGTTGACAGAAACTTGAGAAAGTTGCTCTGTGTCCAGTTTCTTCAGATTATTTTTACTGCGCCCGAACGTAACTGGCTCAAGTGCAAATGGCGTCTATGGGAAAATGAATACTTTAGATCTCTGAAATGCAAAACAAAGATATTGAGAAGTTAGTGATTCAGCAATTACTGCAAACAACAGATTTGCCTTAAAGCAGGAATTAAGTTCTTTTCCACAGAGTGTGCACCATGAAGTTTAAGCTGGAAAATGGCCCCTCGCTTTTCTTAGGGCTTTAAGGAGATTATGGACCCATGAACAGATCGGTTCCTGTTACAGACCATTAGAGAGCCAATCCTTGAACATGGAATTGTCATTTGGCAAGCAGGGGCTGCACTTTTGCTGACACTTATTTTTCAAATTCTGTTCAGATGATCACTATGGACAGGTATTTCTAGCACAGGTGGTATGTACAAAAGAGCAAACTACAGATGTAGTGATCTAAACAATTCAGAACTTTAATCCAGACTTGTTAAATTTTAAAAAGACACAGGTTCTAGGCAGTGCATTCGGCCACTTTGTTAGGAAACTGTCCTTATGTGAGAAACATGCTGTTTATCTTTACAAAACATACTATTTTGTACAGAAGTCAACATGTTTTAAATAGCCTTTGGTCTTTTCTCTACCTGAAGCTGTACAATCCAGCTATTTTTTTGTTCTTTGTTGTGGCACTGCAATTTTATTACAGCAGTTTCAGCAGCAGATATCAACCATGCTTATGTATTTGAACAAATACTCTGGCTATGCATAGCTATATGTTAAGTTATTACCATCCACTGGGCAGAACTTTATTTCATGTTGTCATGGTGATATTGGAGAAGGTGCATGCAAGCTCCAACTTTTCTTTTAAGGCATAGGTTTCTAACAGGGGATTCCAAAGTTCTAACCATACTTAAACCATAAGCCTTTTGGGTGGCAAGTTTAGGGACTGTAGAAGGAACAGTGGAGAAAAAAAACTACAATGCAAGTGGTGTGAAGAGCCCTCCTTGCCAGATGGTGCCAGCTGGGCAGTAAGACATTGCACAAAACCACTGCTGCTTCCATAAACTTCACCATGTGTGGAGCATGGGGAAGGAAGTGGCAAGTGAAAGAGGGCAAAGCCCATGGACAGAAAATAAGAATTTGCAGGGAGAAGCACTTTGCTGTATATTTGCTGTTTGAACAAGTAATGCTCAGAAATGAGCCTAGCACATTAGTGCTGTGCAAAGCTGAATTGGCTTGTAATGCCTGAAACTGATGTCCTGAAGACTCCGTAACAGTTGCAAGATTTTTTTAAGCAGTTTAGTTCTGAGTCGTGTTGCGGAGAAATACAGGAATGGTGTTTGGGAAGTGCTGTAGAAGTGGTATCTCCTAAAAGTCAGTAAGAAATCTAAAAGGGAGCAGGGCTGGCTCTGGTACTAGAGAAAACTAGTAAGGCATCTCAGAGAATACAAGGACTGCTACAGAAATAGCACCTGATCTGAAATAGCATTTCATCTGCTATGCATCTGATACTAGGTGAGAAGTGGAGTTACTCGCCAAAGAAAGAGCAGGAAGCTGAATTTCATGCCTTTTGGCCTCAATTCTGTGCCACTGTATGATATCTGCCTTCTGTTTATTAGCTTGCTTGTGAACAGACTATTTTATTATACTCTACAGGGCACTAACAGGCTTGGAATTGGATCACCATCAAGTCATTTTCTCTCCTTAGGATACATTGGTGTGATAAGCAAAAACCTCTTCTCTTCTGCTTTAAGTTTTTTTGTTTTTTTTTTCCCCCCTCTATATCCCAGCTATGGCTGGGATTCTGGGAAGCTACCTTGTCCAGAGTTGAAAATTGTTGATGCTTATACCAGACTCTTGTGTCTGCATCTGTTCCTGGCTTGTACATATTTTTTCCTGTGAAGACAGCTCAAGTTGCGATAATCCTTCATTCAGTTCTCTTGGTTTTATGGCAGTGCAATTTTGTTCTGTTAGTGTCTCAGTGTTTTTATACGTCCTGCTGAGACATATGCTACACCTATAATTCTGATAATGCCCTGGAGACTCTGTTCTTCACTGTTAACATGACAATATATTAGCTTATTTGTAGAGACCATAGCTGGAACATACAAATATCTTTGTTTCACTGCCAGAACTTTACAGGTCTGTACAGTGCATGCATTTGCTCATCTTACTGCCTCAAAAAGCTTATTTGGTTAAAGGAGACCTGCAGAAGGAAATGAATTTCATTCTTCATTTCCCCAGTAGTTTGTTGCACTGATTTCCTCCAGCCTCTTTCGGGTCCTGATAGACTTATGCCTGGTTTCAGCTTCTATTACTGATTACTGTTGCACCACTCCTCAGATTAGAGGTCTAAATGCCCTGTAACTTCTTTTTCACGGAGAAACTTATACAAAAATCAAGTTGCCCTTCAGTATCTAGCACTGCTGAAACAATCAAAAAAAGCTCTGAAAGTCTCTTTATGTAGGGCCTTGAACTGATTTTTTGTAACAGGTAAAATTTCCTGAGTGGACTTAATCTGGAAGCTAACCCAGACAGATAAGGTTACACACATGGGCTGTGTAGTAGCCAGTGTACCGCGGCTTCTCAGGAAAGCTAAGCTACTCCTTTTTCACTAGGTCTTCTGAAGATGATTTGAGATTTGGAAGAGCCAGAGCAACATTAGCACACACAAACTCAGCAGTGCTGTTTTGAAGGAAGGTGCTGGACTGTAGTTATGACCTGCTCCCCAGACTACAAGCCTGCATTTTAAGTTTATTTCCTCTAATTGTTCTTCAGAGCTATGACACTAGGAAGACACCTGTTTATTTTCACTGTTTCTGTATTTATCCTTCTGTTTAAATAAATAGGAATCTTTAAAATGCAGGTGGAAAAAAATAATACTGGTCTAACTGACTACATTTATCAAATAAAGTGATAGTGCAATCTTTGTGGGCTGAGCCTCTCACAAAGGGAAAATTCTGCAATTCGGGATGGCAGAAAAGCCATACTATGTTCATGGAAATCAAAGGGCTCTGTGCATTGGGTTTAATAGCCCTGGTAGTTATTTGGATAAAGATTAAGCCTTCAATGTTCATAACAGACTGGATGCAAACCTTTCTTAAACAAAAAGGAAATAATAAAAAAATACGGTGTTTCGCTTCCTCCACCAGTCTTATTTCCCTTCCTGGCTTTGCCAACACTGAGCAAAAGGAGTGGGTATCCCTGAAGGATAATCTTTGCTTCCTATGCAAGGAGCCCCTGACAAAACAAGAGGCTGTCATCAACTTTTGAACTCTGCATTTACAAAATCATTGTGTAATAACTTAACGGTTCCTAGTAGCTTCTGCTTTTGCAGCAATCTAAAGAAAATTCTTTTATCTACAAAGTCTAGAACTGTATAGATAAGCTCATTAATTCTAAAGATATGCCTTAGTGGGCACTGCATCTTTGTATGCTACATCCTACTACCTTATGGTGCAGAGAAACCACACTCACCTTGTACTTACTGTCTTGAAGTTGACTCAGACACCGGCTTCTGCACTCCAAAGGCAGTGATAAAAATATTCACAACCACTATAATGAATACTAGTCCAGTTGCAAGGTTGTTGAGGAAATCCAGCTTACTGTGTTTTGCAGGGTTGTTAAGGTCATATTTTACTTCAAAAACAAAAGGGAGGAGGGGAAAAGCTTTAATTATATGTGTATTTCAAAATCCAGAATAAAAGTACTCTTCATTACGCAGACAATTCAACAGTTTCTTATACTAAGCTATTTGTATCAGTCATACTTTAAAGGGAAGTTAGATTCTACAGTGTCAGCACAAGTGTCAAGCAAAAGACCTTCAGTCGCAAGCAGCCTATCAGCATCTGCAATTTCTGGGGATGCACATGGGAAGTGGTGGGTACACAAACATTACTAGGAACCTTCAGTGTTCTTGATTTCTTGAAACTTAGGTTTGTTTGTTTTTTTTCTTCCAGATTTTAAGCCTTTAAAAAATTGTCATGAATATATGAAGCTTGAGGTCATGAGAGGAAGGAATGAAGTTTAACATACTACAGTTAAAATGCTATGGGTTCTTGCCAGATAGTCATATCTCTTTATCAGTGCTGGACTCTTGTAATGGTGTCCTTCCTTTGCTGTACTCCCTGCTTGGTACAGCTTTTGTACTGATACTGTTTTTAGAAAGCAAGGGCATTGCATCTCTTTAACAGAAGAAGATTTCAAAGTAGTGCAGTGTAAGTCTCTTACAGAAAGCATCAGCTGTGCAAATATTTTCTTTTGTTTCTTACAGTTCTTCAGTTGAATCGCTAATGGGAGCGAGGGAGGAACCCACAAGGGAGATATTCAGTTTAAGTTTTGATTCCAGGCCTTGTGAAAACATATAAATGAGTTACATTAGGCTCATATCAGACTTGATGATAGACTAAAACATGTACTTGTATAGGACAGTTAGAAGTCTGGGAGTGCTTGCTTGGCATGGATTTTCTCTGCCTGTTTTCTACTGTGGTAAGTGCTTTGCAACTTGGAGGCTGTACTAAAATTCTCTGAAGCTGCTGGAACAAATGCCAGTGAGTTCTGGAGCATGTCCTGACAACAAAGACCAGTTTTGGTGTCTTTAAGACACTTAATTCTTAGATGCACAGATCACTGGAGCTTGTGTGCATATAAAGGAAGTGTGGAAGAAAATGTGTACCAGAGAAGTTCTTGCAGCAGCATAAGTAAAATTTTGAGCTCCATCTGATAGGTACACATATATAGATGTGTAGCTTACAACTCTCCTACATGAGATAAACTTTGTTTTTTATTTTTAACATAATGACTTTGTCAGCGCTGCAGGGCTTACCATAGAACCAAGGCTTGCTTGCTCTTTGAATCAGTTAAGTAGAAGTGGTGGCAAACACGTTCATGATGCTGAAGTAGTAAAAGCCAGACTTGCTTAGTGTCCCTAATTAGAAAGTCTAATGCTGCTTTGGTTTTGAGGAATTCTGGGCACCTGTTCCAAGCCCTGCTTGCTGAAGCAGTGTATTGAGATGTCACAGGCCAGCCAAAGCACTAAAGAATAGTGTGGGGAGGGAGGGGACTATTTGAACTCTATAAGCTATTCCACAGCTGTGTTGTAAATTATTCAAAAATAATGTAGGCTGAGCAGTACTTAACCCTGAAAATGAGTTTATGCATGTCCGTAAAGCATCTGGAGCTATGTGGATGTTGGCATCCTAATGGTACCAAGAATAAATAAAATGGAACATTAATCCTTAAGTACGTAAGACAAGCATTTCACACTGGCTTAGTTTAATTAAAAATGGCGAAAGTGGGCTAACATGTTTTCTATATTAAAAGAAATCATATTTGAAGTATGGGCTTCAATGGGCTGAGCCAGGGGGCTCCGAGAGAAGGACTTCAGATGTTGGATAAAATGCTTGGCAAGGCCCAAAGGCAGGGTTTTTATTGAGTACCAAAAAAAGCTCTTTTGAAGGAGGAAATGCTTTTGATATCTACTAGGAAAGGTGAGAACTGGTAGCTCCTGGATAAAACTATGCTTAAAGGAAAGAAACTGGATGGTAGCATAGACTTCCATTTAGACTTGTGTTATCTTGCCAGAAGTAGTCTTTTCTGGCTGGACAGAAAGGCAAACTATTCCTGCAGGCAAAAACTAACAAATCCACACTGTGAAAAGCAAGCTATTGCTGTGATGCCCTTATCACCAAACCTTCATATCCTTCAGCACCTTTGGGTTCAACAAGACAACGTATTCCAGGGATAGACAATCACTCCAGCAGTATAACCTTATAAACTGGAGGCTTTGTCGTCCTCAGCACTTCAGATGTATGGCTGATGATTGCAGAGCGCAGACTGAACTCTTCATGAATCTCACTGTTTGCCAAGTGATCTACGAACTTTATCTCAGATATGCTTAGTCATTGGGGCTGTGGGTTACTCTTGTCACTCTCAGTGTGACAAAGACAAAAATTAGAGGTGGAAGCCACTTTGGCAACATCTGGCAGCAACAAGCATTAAAAAGCAATTGTCAGCATGTGCTGAGAAATTATTGCCCAACAACAACTGGGAACCTAAGTAAGTATTTAAGTTGTAAACAACTGAACCAACCAACAGGGAGATGCCTTAAACTGAGAAACTTTTTTTAGTTTATATTTCCAATGCTCTCTCCCCACATCCTCCATTATCAGGTTGCTTTCTCTAATCCTTCTCTGGAATCTCTTCTGAGCCAGGAATTGGATTTTGCCCTTGTGCTGTCTACCACACGCATGAACAGCTATATTCTTTCTTTCGTAAGAAAGAAAAAGCTGAATGCCAGCTGCATATCAATAATACAACCATATGTATCCTTGCTTCCTGGGAACTTTTTCCTTGAACAGAAAGCTTTTTTCCAGTTTTGCCAAAAACTAGAATATTGACAGAGTAATGAAGATGCTAATGGTGGCACCTCTAGTTCAGTAAATGCCTTATGTGATCTCTGGCTATCACCTTCCAGAGTTTTCCTTTAATATATGCTTAAGATCTGTCATAGTAGTCATTAATTTAAAGGGAAAGATTTGAAAAAAGCTATGAGACTAAATGATTGTATATCAGTAGGAAAACAACTGATGCATAGATGCTTCCAGCCAGTGAAGGCCTCATATTGATTTCCATGGATAATGGGTGTATCTGAAGCTGAAAAGCTAAGGACCTTCTCTGATTTCACAGGAATCTTTGGTAACTTCTTCAAAGTTGTAGTATAGATTTTTGGGTGCTGCTAATAAATTTCGCAGATTTCTAGCAACTTTGCAAAAGTGATAGAATTTCTTTTTAAATCTTGCCTAGCACAAGTGGAGGCTGGGGGGGTTTAAGACAACAAAGTGAAGTATCAAAGGCCCCTTTAATGTCAAAACAGGAAACCTGAATTTCCAGAAGAGTACTGTCTCTCTCCACTCTCCTCAGGGTTTTGGTTGGGCCTTTTTTGGTTATTCATACTCATTTAGTGATGATATTTTTATAGAAAAGAGCCTGGTTCTGTAGTTAAACCAATATCCTGTCTAATAACTAACAAACATTACAGTGGGTGTAGGACATAAGTGCGCTACTAATTTAGAAACATTAGTTAAAAATAACTATTTTTTATTAGTAAACATTTTCTTGTGCCTTACAGCACATATTAACACTGAATGGCAAAACCTCTATTTTTGAGAACAACAAAGATACTGCATTACACTTCCAAAAACATAAGGTTCTGTAATTCAACAGATAAGACAGAAACAGGGGGGAACAGAGGTGCAAGGAACCGATTCTACAGCTGTCTAGTTATTAAATGTGACCAAAACATGCACTAGCTGAACTCTTACTTGAACTCATTCTCTTGAAATGATTTCTGACATATTTTAAAGGCATTGCATCAATTCCTTTTTTCTTCTCCTTTCTGGTAGAAAGTAAAAAGGCTTTCCGTAATGATAAGCTGCTAGATCCTTTGCCCAATAAGGGAAGACAAAGGAAAGTAAAAAGCATTATCATAATATAAGCTTTACTAGAATTTGAGACAATCTATTTGCAGGCCCAGGAAGCTAATTGGACTGTATTGTGACATTACATGTTATTTCATTTTGAGTTTTTTGAATAATAGTGTAGTATGCGAATAATAGGTTGGTATGTTTTGAGAGTGAAATCTTGCTCCAGCTAGTCCATTTTTTCAGGTGGGCATGTAAATCTGCTTTTTATCTAGGAACTGCATAATAGCTATCACCTTTAATCTATCATTCTCTTTAAAGTTGCTTTCTTTTTAGCTTAAGTTGTTTAACATAGATTTGAAAATTGGCAATAACAAGTACACTTCTATCATTCCTCACCTAGAGACTTAGGATGCTTTGAATAACTTCCTAAATTTAAAAATAAGATTTTTTTTTTGAATTGCTGTCAAGCCTATGTTAGCAAATCTTTGACTTAATTGCAGGAATACAAACTCACTGAAGACAATGTGCAATGCCAACATGAAGACGGACATTTCAACTTCCATTTCCATTTTAGAGAGACTTCCAGCTTCACAATATATTCTTATATAATGCATTCTTATATAATTCCTTATATTACTGATATGCAGCAAATAAATTTCTGTTATAGGATTAGGTAACAAGTCTTATCAGAAACAGTATTATGAAACTAGGCAGGCCCCATGATCATGTCTGCCCTATTAATATTTCCTTTACTGCATTTCATCATGTTCCTTCCTCCTTCAGGCAATTCTAAAAGCAAAATATTCATGCTCTTGGAAAATGAATATGAGGAAGTTAATCAAAACTGAAGACTCCACATAAAACTGTCCTTACTCCTTTTATTGCAATATTTATCTGTCCTTCAAAGAAAACCTTAACCAATTCTGAGACAGACTTTCAAATATAATAGCTTTTTAAAAACAAATACGTGGGGGAATCTATACTCCCCAGGTTCCATCTTATAAGAAAAATAAATGTCAATGGTTCTCGCTGTTGCTACATACCAAGGAATATCAGGAGCACTCCCACTACAACTTGCAGTATGAGTGATACACTGATAAGAACGATAAGTGGAACGTAGAAAGAAAAGGAAGGTCCTTGCTCCATCACGGCTTTCAGCTGGGATGCATTGGCCATCAGCAGGGCAATGTCCAACATGCTCTCAGCAGCGCTCTTCTTATTTGCATAGTGGTTGATATTCATAGGTCCACTTCTTTGAAACCACTGTGACATTCTGTTCTAAAATTGGGATGGGGCAATAAAAAGGTTATTCCAATATCGATATTAGTTGGTGTAGTGGCCTAGAGATGACTTTTGGCCCATTAACTGGTTTCTGTAATGATATCAATAGTCTCAGTACTGCTGTTGCTCTGTCTATGCATCCTTCTTGCTCCTGCTGCCCTCAATCTGATAAAGGAGCAGTAGAGAGTATCTGTACTAGACTTTGGCAGAGGCACTTTTTCCAGCTTATAAGTTCATGCCAAACAGTAAGTATGTTTCCCTCCTGAGAGAAGGAACACTTGGAAAATCTGAAAGTTTGCTCTGAGAAAAGTTGGGTGGGGGGAACCTATAAAACAATCAGGTAAACAGACTGTTGTAAATATTTTAGTCCTAAAGGTATAATTAAAAATGTTAGACATATAATACATTAAATTGACTCTGTGTGGATGTTATCATATCTCTACATAGCTATTTAATTACTCCTAAGCCTAACTCAGGATTCAGCCACTGTATGAGCTTTGATTGATCTCTTCTCCTGCTGCTTCTTACTCTGGTTCATGCAGAGTGAACTATTTTTCTGTTTAAGTATTGCACAATCTGCTGTTACTAAGCCCTGCCCAATAAGAAAGGTAACACTTCATTCCACTTCCTCCCAAAAAATCCAGTGGTGGGGATTTCCCAGTGAACAAATGGGAGAGGGGGAACAACACTAAGCTGCTGAGGAAGTAAACTCAGCACAGCTGCATACTGTAGGGCACAAACAGAGGTAACCTGGAGGGATGCATAAAAAAAACAAGCTTTTCCTGATGGTGGTTCATGCGACCTATCTTGTAATGCGATGCCTTGTCTCCCGGAGGTTTTCATTTCTTTACTGGTTAGAGGTAGCTGAGGGTGACTAGGTTAGATGAAGAAAGATGAGGCAGCTTTCACTGAGGCAGCTACAGCATCTGAACAGCTTAGGAGCTTCATTCCCACTGCTCTTCCAGTCTTTATTTTAATTCTATCTCATATAATAGAGTAAACTTGTCCTAGCTGACCTCTTAAAAACTGCTTCTTAAGAGACCTTTTCACTGTATAAACGTTTATGCTTGCCAGAAAATACTGTGAGGAAAGCCTCTTTTTAAAGGTTAATTCAAATGCGGGGAAACTCCCTCTATTTAACTCTCTTCAGCGGCATAAAAATTCCCAAATCCAAAGCCAGGTTTGCTGCTGTCCACACTTACAAGTGTCCTTCTAAATAGGACAGGTATTGATGCGTACCACAAACACATCCACAGTTCTTTCCAGGGCAGCCAACTACCAAACTTGACCTATTTTCACCAGACACACTGTAACGAGCCTTGATCTGAATACTTTCCTGAGAGAGAAATGTCCTGGGGCAGCAGCAGACTAGTTTTTTCCTGTAGAGAGAATGAAACCGTGTAACCCTGCCTTCATGCTCGCGGGAAGAGAAGGGATCTGAAACTAACACGGAGGTCGCTCAAGACAACTAGGTAGGCACTGGGCTTCGTCTATAGCCCACGGTCAAAAACGCTGTTCGACTGGCTTGGGAGTCTGTCCCACAACTCCTTGCCTTTTCTCTCCCCAAGGAGAGTCTCTTCCATGCTGCTGCCCTCCCTTCCATTAAACAACTATAACATTCGGATGCTTTAAAAACAAAACAAAACCATCCACTATAACCATTACAACAGAAGTATGTATTCATTTTATTATGCAAAGCAGCCTGAAATATATGCTGGTAGTGCTCAGCAGAAAGATCCAAACTAATGTTTTTCCACTATTTATTGTATAGTATGTATTGTATAGTTACAAACACTCTTGGTCACATAGTGTAAAGGGGGAAGATTAGATATGTGTAATAGTAGAACTTTGTTTCTGAGTATGGGGATAAAATAAACTATTTCCAGTAGACTGTGAAAGTAATCTCTCTTGCAGCAAGTTCATAATAGAGAAAGTCTTTTCCTATGTCTAGTAGCTAAATAACTGCTTCCTGCCAAAGATACTGACTTTAAAATTTCCTTTGGCTTCATGAGCCTGTAATGCATAACACAGGCAAATAATCCATGGGTAGGTCTGACTCAGCCCTTAACCCTGATGGAAAGGGCCTGCAGGTAAACTATGACAACTGATTCATTTGTTTTTACTCAGTGTAGGAATGTGACTGTAAGTTTTAAGTGGCTGCTTTTCTCTAAACTATGCAAAAAAGTAAACAGACAGGGTCACATCTTCCTTTCGGTTATATCTGTGACTACATGACATGAGATAGTTTCTATGTAAACTGCAGGATATGACCTTTTCTCTTCCTGGGGAAATATAGTGCTGCATTTTTAGGACCTTGCTGGTTGCTAATCCTCTATTTCCATATGGTCAAGCTGCACACAGAAACAGTGGAGTACTGTTTGAACTGTGGTGGAAGCAAAGGTTTCGAGTCACTTCAAAAAGTCTTCTCTGTTTGTTAGAGTTCAGAAGTAGAGTACTGAATGCTGCTAAGGCAAAACTTCTTACTCCTGGGATCACAGCTCAGCTGTTTGTCCATGATGTTTAGATTCTGAAAAAAAATGGCATTTTAGATTAAGAGACTTTCAGCTACCACTCCTGGAAGTGGACCAGGTCACAATTGGACCTAGGCAAGCAGATGTGTGCACACTGAAGTGCTGGCTCAGTTGCACAGAGCATTTCCTTGGCTTGAGATTCTGTCTTCTGTTGGAAGAAAGAACCTGCAATCATGGACGCTCCAGCAACAATCACTTTCATTTGCTTGGTTAGAAAATGGAGCTTCTTGTCTTAAGATGGAAAACTATTATAAACATGCAGATTAGCATTGCTTTCTGAAAGAACAGTTGAGGGCAACTGCTAAAAGCATTAAAACAAATGCAGGCCAGCTACAGCAGTGCTTGGGAAGTGAATAAACTTGTTACAGCAGTATGCAGGCAATGAAAAGAGCTGTTGCCTTATCCTCAAAGTAAAGATAGTCATGTACAACAAATTATATGGAAACTTTGCTATGTGGCTTTATGGTTACAGAGATTCAAAACACATAGCAACACATGCAGTCTTCTGCACTAAGCTAGTGACTATACTATTACCACTTGTAGGGATGCAGCTAGGGAAAGTGAAACTGCTGCAGATTTTCTTTGACTAATGTAAACTAAGGCTTTTCCTACGCATGCCATTTAGCAAGAGAATGATATGTAGTATCATTCCAAATGAGGAATCCTTTGATACACTTTAGTCTCAATATAAACAAAATTTCAATTTTCAAAGTTTCTGGTATAGACAAGCTGATCCCTACAGTTGGTGTCACTGAGGAAAGACAGCATGTGCGTGCGCATGTGGATGGACAAGAGCCAAGTGTAGCTGGAACTGCAATATCTGCCTTTTCGTGTCAGTAGCAGCATGCTTTCCCCCCAAGCGGCAGCCTCTGAGCAGAACAACTTGCCATGCTAGTCTGCACAGTTATAAAAAGGAGAGGAGTCAACAGCCTTCTCATCTCACTGTATCTATGACTGAGGCTCATTGGTGGAAGAGCTTATTTCCACACAAATGCAGGGCTGTCCCCAGAGACAGCACCACTGGGTGTCTAGGCATGGGAAAAGGGTCTCTGCTTCCCCAGAGCACTGGACACAATTTGCAAGGAGAAAGCTAAAATGCTACATCAGAAGCTGGTGCTTTTTTGCTTCTTAAAGACCAAACCTAATGTTTATTCCTTCATATCAGGGTGGAATTTATTCCATACATAGTTTTAACAATAACTATATTAGTACACACTTTGCTACTGTTTGCTTTACTACCCATTATAATGGTACCACTAAAAGTGAGTTTCTTTAAAGTGGAATTAATGAATCCTTTCCATATTTCAAACAAACAAAAAAGCACTGAAGTCATTAGATGCATAGATCACTTAAGACCCACCTGACGATTCAACAGGAAAAAAAAAAAAGCACAGAGAATAGAGACATTTGGAAACAAATAGTAAGGTATCTTGCTAAATACAGTGACTTAGAAGGATTTCCACCTTCTGTTACAGCAGTAAATCACTGTTTATGATAAATTACATGGCTCTCTGAACAGAATATTTTCCAAACACTAGTGACTACTGAAGTAGTCACAAATTAGTGTGCTGAAAGTCTGACAAAAAAGACTAAGAATTTTGTTTTTCTTGTCAAACTTGACCTCTCTCCTGACACTCTCCCAAAATCGTACCAGTTAGTCTGTTAAGACAAGATGAATGTCAACTGAAGTGGCAGTTTTTGATATGCAAGTCATCTGGAAGTCAAGGAGGAAAAAACACGAGTGAAAATGATGCCTATTTTGGGTTCATACATAAACTTAGTTGATGTTCATTTCTGTCGTTCTCAGCATGAACACAAGAGGAAAGAAATCATTTAGATTTTCAGTGCAAATTTTTAGAATTCATCCCTTTTGGTACGCTTGTAGGCACTTAGTTTCTTAAATGTCTTGCATCACATCTTTTTCTAAAGAGAAGGTTTAAAAACAAACAAAAAAATCGTAGTAAACCTGTAAAAGATTCAAATATTACCTGAACCAATAGGATCCTGAGAATTCAGAGTTAAGAGTCAGATTTGATGATGAACATTAAATTTAGTGTAGCCATTCTTGTGAACAAAATTAACTCCTATTTGCAGTAGCACAGGACTGGTTATGTCTTATTAAATCACACTAGAACTCCAGTATTTTGGAGTTAGTAAGGTGAACCTTCAATTTCCCAAATCAGTGCACTGAAACCAGGAAGCACAAAGCATAAGCCAGAAGTACAGCCTGAGTTGCTTTGATTCATGTAAAGTTGCCATTGCAGCTACTGGTAATGTCAGCTGCAACTGCAGAAACTTGAGCTCAATTTTTTTTGCATTATCAGGCTCAGTGTCGTATCTAGGTTCCTCAAAAGCACAAATATTCATTTTACTATCAATTACAGGTATTAATACTAAACACCTTCATGGTATTCTAATATTAAATCATTCTGCAGCAGAATGCCTTTATGAAATACAGGAAACCAGTAACTTAAATGGGATAACTGGGGAAGGAACACTGATTATTATTTACATATTCAAGAAAAGATTTCTAAGAACTGTTTCTGACTAATGACACCTTCCTTAAACTATCAGAAGGTTCTTTACCTCCAAGGAGACTTACTCTGAAATGCAGTCTTGATAATTTTTGGCTTGTTCTAATTCTGTATACAGTTTTCTTTCTATTTCAGACTAGTGGTTACTACAAGTGTATGGCAATTTATAGACATTTTTAATAGCTAAATAGCATTGAGTCAAAGTGAAATAGGGCAATTTTGCGGTCTCATTGTTGACAGATATGACCTCTGATAGGCTTGTAATGACATGGAGCAAGCTTCATAAAATTCCTCTCTTTAGGGACAGTCCTAATATTAAAATAATGGAAAGATGCTTAGTAATAATGAAGGAATATAAGGCTGTGTTCCTGAGTCATACTGATCTTACAGCGAGCTGTTCTTTACTATGTTTTGCAACAGTCTTTTTAACTGAAACTATTAACAAGATGCTAAAAAAACCCTCTTACTTAAAATGCAATTTTGTAAGTTTCTTGAAGTATTCATCTTTAAGGAAAACACTTCATGGCAAACTCTTCCAGAACTTCAGTGGTAATTTCTTGTTCAACAAAGCACAAAATTTCAGTTATATCAAAGAGGAGAAGAATCTGACAAAAGGAATAAATGTAGAACTAAAACAGAACACAACTTCACAATTTTATTTTTATTTTTTCTAAGATTAGTCCTATAGTTGCCGAATTGAACCGGTAACTCTATACAGCCATTTAATGATCCCAATGGATGTGGAATTCCTGTCCACATCTCCATCACTTATACATAGGAAACATAATGGATAAATACATAGCCACTCAGAAATGAAGCCTTGCTCTCGGTCTCTAAAATCTTGCTGATTCAGAAAATTAGGAAAAATATTCTAAAAAGAAAAGAAATATTCTTCTGAGTATTTAAAGCTATGCCAATTATACCAGAGATGACTAGATCCTTTGTATACCTTCTCAGGAGATGTGATTACTTCTTCTCCTCTCCTTCCAGTGATACATTAGACCCCTAGTTAAGCTTAGCGCTGCCTCAGGGAAGGGGAACCCACATCTAGTACTGAATTGTCAGTTACGTTTCCTGTAGGAGTTCCATTCCTGGGGGTAGATCTGTCCGTTCCAGTGCTAACCTAACACTACGCTACCTCACTTGTGAGAGCTTCCGTAATCACATCTTGAGACAGTATGGTTGCAGGTGATTAAGAAAAAAGAATAGAAGAATTTAGCTTACATTCACACTTCATAGACAGTCTGTTTTCTAGCATAGGTTTTTTTTTTTTTAAAAACCTATACTTAAAAAGGGCTACATTGCGCAAGGGAAAACACAAAATGTGACTATGTAGCAGATGTGATAGCTATGACAATTCCCGAGGGCTCAAAAAGCTAGTAGGAAGAAGGAAAAAGTACAGTTGTGTTATCTCATGGCAGAGCATTGTTCTAAAGCTATACTGCTTCCAGGATCAAGCTAGAATATTTTTACTAAATGACTTAAAAAATAACCAGCACTAATAATGACCAACTGTGAAATGAAGATATAACTTGAACTTGAAACTTTTAAGTAGAAGCTTTCTCTAGTACTAAACTTTTGTCTTGCATTGCTATTACTTATTTCAGCCATTCTCACGACTGGACTGTGAGCTACCTATGTTACGTGTTGTTAAAGCACTGTTTGTTTATGCATGCTTAAAAAAAAAGCTGTCACCAACATGGGAGTTTCACTTTGTAATACTTCAGAACATGATATTTCATTTTATGTGCTCTAAACTGATTTCAAATTCCTACAGATTTGAAGTTTGCTACTTGTACCAAGAAATGTCCATGTCCTTTACTAAAACTACTTATATATTCAAGATAACATATTAATTCATTTTTAGCAACAACACAACTATAGTGGAAGCAAAATATTTCACAGCCATTCTCCTCTATTATCCCATTCCTGTTCACCTTTTCATAGTCCTTTAACAGGGAATACCAGCTGAAAGAGCATTATCATGGAAATGTTACACAAGATTTTACAATGTGGCAAACCTAGACGGTTTCCATACGGGTCGTGAGCACAGGAAATACAAGAACATGAAAAAGCAGTTACTACTGCGTTTGCATGAACAGATCCTTTGCACCAAGGGGTCAGATGCTTCTGCCAAGTGCAATTATTCCCATTAGTCAGTGAGGTGTGCCAAGCCAACCCTGTATCTGAAGCTGTGAATTCCTTGCTTCTAAAAGCTTGACAGCTGGTAAAAATTTATCCAAATTAATGACAAAGTTGAAATAAACCACAGGAAAGCACTGTGTGACCACTCATCCAGAATTATAGTAGGTTTAACCAGCCTTTTTAATTCATGTGCCTCTACAAGGTGTTTCAAGGTAATGTGACTCTTGTCCCAATTTTGTATCACTTAGCCTAAAAGGAGGAAAAGGTACCAGTTTGAAGATGGGCGCAGGAAAATCTGTTAAGGATAGGGTAGGTGCTAGGATGCATATGAAACTCATCAGGGCTGTCAGAGTTGTGACGCCTGTAAATGTTCTTAAAAGCAGACACTTTGGGCTCCAATACCAAAGGCACCACCAGTGGATTCGTGGCCTCCCCAGGTTTAGCTGGCTGCTTAGCTGAGGTGCTCATTTGTTCGTGTGAAATGTGGACTTGGTCAGATTTTTAAGGAACCTACCATTTCAAAACTGGTTTTCAGAAACCTGCCCCTATCTGTTTCACCTCACATATGTGTTTTCAAATATGTCTGTCAGAAAATGAAGAAGTGTCTGGAAAGCCCTCTGAAGGGCTAACTATTTTGTAATCGCTCATTCTTCATATGACACATTTGCACAGGATTTGAATAGTTTCTATGGGAAAAAACGTAATGAAATGACGATTGCGTGCAACTGAAGATGAAGCAAAATGGGGAAGATACAGAAATGTTCATAGGACAGACTGAGATTAAAAACCAAAAAGCCCTGTTTATAGTAATTGTGATGCAATCAAGGCTCTGCCTGTGCTAGATTAGGAATGCTGAGAAGTGAGTGACTTAAAGGAAACCTCTGTTTGACTTGCATATGCCAGCCTTGATTCTCCTTAGGTACTTTCCAGAATTTATTAAAACCAGATGTCTTTCTGGCATGAAATTGGCGTCAACAAGGGTTTGTCAGGAAGGGAGGGAAGGAGGACAGACCTGCTCCACAATCAGTCCAGTCTGTCTGTAACCAGAAAGTTTTACTGCGGATGGAGAAGGCGGGTCAGTATAACTGTTTGTGCGACAGCATCCTAGCCTGGAGTGAGAGCTGCTTTTTTGAGGTTTAGTTTAAACCCCTTCTAAAGCAACATAAAAGATGCTCTTTTACCAGCCTAGCTTTTCAGATAAGTAACATGCTTGAAAAACATCCTTTACATGTATAGGATGAAACACTTTCCAGTGAAGACTTTTTTTTTTTAAGTCATGCTTTTACTATATAGAACAGTAAAAAGATGAAGGGTTTTTTTTTTTTTTCCTCCCGGCTTTTATGTGGATTACTGTATGGGAAGGGGGAAGAAGATAGCCCCAACCCTTTAAGCAATTCATCTGCCTTTTGCGCTCATCCTTCTCCTGCGTAGACTTTCTTGAGCCGCCCGCCCTCCTCAGGGCGACCGGCCGCCCCAGGCTCAGAGCGGGAGCCCCCCAGGAGGGACGGCCCGCAGCTCCCTCCGGGCAGGGCAGGGGCTGAGCGGCGAGGCACCCCACGGCCTGCCCTGGCCCTTTGGCTGGGACCTGGGCCCATCTCGTGCCAAGGAACGGAGAGGATTTTCTTGCCGGATTTTTAGTTCCTGCCTTTAAATTGAGACAAAATGCGCCAGCCCCCCCCCGCCCCCTTCCCCGCAGGTGGGCGCGGAGGGCACCGGTTAGGCAGCAGCCCGGAGCAGGGGGGACATCGGCAGGGCCCCCGCCTCCCCTCAGCGCGGGGTGCCGCGGCCTGAGGCGAGGGA